CTTGCTCAATGGAAGATTTGAGAATCAAGTGATGCATTTCATCAAACTGTGCCAAAACATTTGGGTATTTGCCTGAAGGAAGGTGAGTTTACCATTTTCCACACCTTATGTAAGATCAAAGGAGCCTTTCTTTAAAATTGCAGGTATCAAGCTGGGACAGATCCCAGCTGAAGGCTTCTTATGTTATTTTAGAAAGTAAAAAAACCCAACACCACGACTCTCTGCAAAGGCTGGATCTGATATTTTTTCTTTTTCTTTGTATCTTCTGATCTCTTTAGGATAAATTACAAGGCTGTGATACCCACTATTGTGCAATTAGCTTGTGAATCCTTTGAGTTACTTAGTGTCGTACCACTGCTGTTGCTGAATGACTTGATTCTTCACAGATATATGCAAAACAGGCATTAACAGCTTAGTTTAGCACTGAATGAATTGGACAGTGAGCATTGAAGAGGACTTATTTTAAATTGCCTTCTAGTTTGTATTGTAAGATGTAATTTCCAGGTGTTTAGCACATTGAAATTCTGTCGCACTGAAGTCAGTCAAACTGACATATCTGAGGGAAAGGTTTCTTTTAAGGTTTTTTAATGCCTCAGAACAAGGTTAGAGGACATACATTGGTTTTGCCTCTATTAAAAATATTATAACTTATAAAAGAGAAGCTACAACTTATAAAGAGGAGGGATAGGATGAAGGTCAACATGGAAGGAGAGGTGGGTGCGAAGCACTTGGACCTCAAATCCATATTCTACCAGATAATTCCTAATTAGACATAAGCCTTTTTTTTTTCTTTTGCTGTTAGCAAGTGTCTGCTTACCCAGCTCTAATGGCTGAAGCACTTAGAGGACAGCAGGCTCCTACTGCAACCTATTAGTGCCTCATTAAGTACACTAACTATTTGTAAAGCATCCTTTAAGATGAGGAGCACCCACAAAAAGCCCTGGAGGGGATTAGTCAGTCTCTGTTCAGTGCAGATTTAGGGAGGTGTGGTAGGCAAAACCTAAAGCCACATGTTGAATGATGAGTATGAATAGAAAGTTGAAGGAACTGCCCCTTTCCAGAGAATGGTGCATCGCTGGGTAAAACAGGGGTCCAGTAGAAGACCTATATGTGTCTGTATGATTAAAGACTCTCATACTATAGAGGCCTCAGGAATAAACTTAGTTCTATCATTATTTGATTTCAGAAGCTTTGATTTTGCAATCTAAAGTTTTGGGGGCGCAATTTTGCACAGTGTGCAGCCTGACTGAGCCTACGCATTATGACATTTATAAGAAGGTTTCCAGATTATTTGCAGCACAGCAAGGAAAGGAATTAAGAAAGAGAAGTACAAGGGTTAACTGCCACTATTATGATAATTTATAACTATGGTATGATAAATTATCAACTATTATTTTCTTGACTGGATAGAGTATGTTAGCAAAGGATCTCCAGTGTATGGAGCCACCCTAGTGAGTATTTGTGCTGTGATATGAACACATTTTCGTACAATCTAGAGAGTTTCTCAGAGATGGAAGATGGTCTTACAATTTCTAGAGCAGATATTCAGCGGCACTGGATCCATATAGGGCCCAGGAAATGGATAATCAAGGACTGGAGCCAACTTCATGTCTTACAGAGCAGCCATCTTACAATTAACTTGATTTCTGCAGAAAAAGGGGCAGTTTCAATCTGTGCTTTGTTATTTTTCTGAGGAATCTTAGACAGTGATTTCCTCACGACCAGCTCCTCATTACTGCATGATCTATGCCAGAAAATCTTCCTATAGGGATGTCTGAGTAACCTTATGGGATCATGGCACATCCCTCTCAAGGTACTAGATCAATATAGCCTTTGTCAGGATATTTGTAAATTTAGCCTGAATATTTCTGAAAGGGAAGACTAGCCTGAATCAAAGTTAACGAGAGGTTTCAGTGATTGGTTTCAATGGTGTCAGGGTTTCAGCCGAGATACCTGAAGAACAGGTCCTAATAATTCTGAACACTGTACTAAGAGTATTAGAGAGAAACCTCAAAGTCCTCAAGATATATGTCAGCCTGGTTTTAGCTGCAAACCTCCTGACCACAAAAGCCAGGGAACTTTACTGTACTCTTAGACTGCAAAAGAAACAATCACTTCTTAGCCTGCAGAAGAAGGTTTAGAAGAGACTGCTGACTAACAGACATCACTTTTCTGTGTTGTCCTGTACGCTTTTACTGGCCATGAATTTGGTAGCGTTAGTCAGTAATATTACTTCTCCCTACAGACATTGCCTCAGAAATGGTGTATAATATTCTGGTAGGAAAGTAAAGAGTGATATTAACCATTCTTCTTAAAATATCACAAATAAACCAAATTCTCTTGTTTTCAGATGTATTTATTATTAGCTCCTTTGTAAAACAAGCACAGTACATTGCTTTTATAGCAGAAATAAGATGTGTACACTTAATAAATACTAACAGCAGGTGCAGCTATATTATCAACAGTTTTCTGAAATATCAGATACTTCCCACATTTCAATGTTTAAATATGTTAAATTACCACCCATTTATAAGACTGGAAAAAAAGGACGCATGGTCACAACAGAAGTCTTTCTTTAATTTCAGTGATCCTGTATCAGGGATTAAGGCCTCAATCCTCAAAGATACTTTGATGTATTTTGCCCTCCTGAAAGTCAGGACTTAGGTGGTTTGACAAAAATGTACAGGGTTCAACACATGCTTCTGCCTCTTTCCAGACCTGGGGACTTACACTGTAAGCAGTTCAGAACCAGGACTTGAGATTTTTCCTACGGTTCTGTGAAGACACCTAGCACATGTTGCAGCACTAGGGAAGTACTTTCAAAATGAACTATAAAAATCTGTATTCTAAAACTCTAACTTTAATTGGATGCTTAACATCCACGTATAAAACCAGTTACCAATTGCTCTCTGAAATATCAGATACACTGCAGTTAAACTCCTCAATAATTTAAGCTGCCTTGGTTTCAACTGCAGATTCCTGACTACTCGTGCCCTGAGGTTCTGCCTGTGGCACAGCACGTCTGAATTGTATTGCCTGAAAACTCCACTGCAAGAGATGTACTGGGTACACATGGGTCACTGAATAAAGGGCCTCTAGTGATCACAAGCATGCAAGAAAAAATTATTTGTTTAGGAAATATTATATTCAGGTACTGGCTCCCACTTTCATGTTCATGAGAGGTGGCAACAGGACTTTCAACCACGGCAACCCAAAGCTGCCTCCACGCCAGCACTCCCATTGCTTCCACTGCAGCGCGGGTGCAGCCGCAAGTGAAGGGCTTTGAGGGTGGTTGATCTCTCATGCAACAACCATTTGCAGTGTTCACCAGCTGAGCATCAACGTGATGTAAGCACACACAGCTGACAGAATGCAGCAGCTAACATTACTAGGACTCTGAACTTGCAATTCCTTCTTTTACTAAAACATCTGCCATCAGATTGGAAGATGAGGATGGCCCTGATACATGATACATAGCTGCCTCATGCAGCCAAGGCTTTCCATGCTGATACATTTCAACAAAATAAATAAAAATAAAAATAAATAAATAAATAAATAAATAATCAAATAATTAAACAATTAAATAATGGAATGCTAAACCAGTTCTTTCACTAAGTTACTTTCCAAATAAATTAACACATGAAGTAGTCTGAATAGCAACTGCCATCATCTGACATTGCAAGTCATGTCAAGTAAATAAATAAATAAATAAATACGTAAATAAATGCAATACAACTATATGCAGAACCTACAACAATAGCCAACAGCAATGTATCAAAATATCATCTTAATATAACATGATGTATGCTAAAAGTGTTACTCAAATGTGGGGAATTCAAAAGAGCTGCCAAAATCAAGACTATATTAATCTATTACAAAAAAAGATAAGCTATGGCTTCTTAATAATATAAATTGCAGATTTTTCTTCTAATTATGCTTATGTTCCTGTGCTAATTCATTCTTTGCTTCCTCTAGGAGCATTGTTCTGTTCTCCTAGAATCTCTCACAGGTTATCTGTAACATAAGAGAAAGGAAATTTACATAAGAATTATCCTTATTTTCCTCAGACCTAGATTTTTAGACCATTTCTCAATCAAGGTTTGCTGGTCTGAGCATCTAGTGAAATGCCACCACTCAATTTCTCTAAAGGACTCAGGACCACATAATGCAAAGCTCAGAAGTTCCTGTGTCTGGTGGCTATTAGGGATTCAGCTTCAATCCCTCAATGAGAGTTAGGCACCTGTCCAGCTGTGGCCTTTTTGAAAGTTTCCTTCAGTTCCCATTGGTATCTATAAATGCCCCTGTACCAACAAAGACTGGATCCACAGAACAGCATGATCTCATTTCAAGTGTTTCAATAGGGATACGAATTTACAGTTTTTCAACAGTATGACTCAGGAAACTTGGAGGTCAGAGAGATCTGCATCTGCATCTAATTGAAAAAAACCCACCACAAAATTACAAAAAAGAAGAAAGGAAGAAGATAAAATAATCTGCATAATTCTTGTTGGCGTTGATCTGAAGGAGGCTACTTCCATTTTAAAAAATATGTTCTGACCTGGGAAGCTAGGCTAGAGAATGCCAGAGCTGCCAGAGAATGCTAATCAATTCACAGAATAACAAAACAGCCATTCCTAGGACTCGCAGAAGCTGCTAATAGCTTTTCTATCTAATAGCAAGTATCTCCCCTCTCTCTCACTCTTTCTTGTTTTAGTGGTACTTGGCTGTATTTTATAATTGCCTAGTTAGGTAGAACCCTAACTAGGGTCCATGAACCATTGTTTCCTCTCTGATTGAAATGGATTCTAGTTGTTTCCTCAATTATTTTTTAAGGGAATAATTGTTTAAACATTTACATGTTTATTCCTTACAGATATTTAATGAAAAAACGTTCCGGAGACAAAAATGAGTATGAGAAAATGTGAAATAAATGAATATTTAAAAAGCAGAAGAGGTTTAGACTCCTTACTCTCCTAGGTAAGGAATCATTCCTGGCCCTCCAGTTGAAGGCTCTTTAAGTCTTACCTGCAAAGTGAAGACCACTCACTCCAGGCTGAGTTGTAATAGCGATCCCTGGCCTGCACAGAGATCTTGTCTTTTGGCCCAGGCATTGTAATCTGAATGGACTGCTCATCAGCATCATAGATCTATGAACAGGCACAGCGGATTGTAAAGGTCAAGCAGAACATACAATAAAGTGCCAGATAGATAGCAACAAGCACATAGAACTCAAAAAACTCGTGGGCAGTCAGTTGTTTCAAAGGCACCAATCTTCACCCACAGCTACCGAAGTCATGAGGACTTGTGAGAACTTGAGCCTCAGTAGAAACAAGCTAAAAAGCCCACTTTCCACTGCAGTGGGTGTTGTAAATTGATCCAAAACCCAAACTGAAACCGTCATTAAAGCAATGGGTTTATTTGTTTATCTGGTTTTTTGTGTTCTTTCTTCTTCTCCCAGAGTGGGAACCCTAAAAGACACAAGTCGCTGCTTTTCAGTATCGTTGGAATTTCCACTGAGGACTGGTGGTGGCTGACAGAAGCTGCACTCTGTAGCCTCCTCCGTTTCTCTACCTAAGGGATTGCAGGCGACAACCCTACTAAAATCAAGGAGTCAGCGCTAGGGGAATGGCCCCATCTGCTGGTACAAGCTTGCTTTTTTTTTTTTTTTTTTTTTTTTCCCCCCCCCCCTGCATAGAAAGACATCCTCTAGTGTCTTTGGATTAATCAGTTGACAAACTGGAATGATCATTACATTTGTTTACTTTCTGATTGTTGGACCAAGGAAGAGCAGCACTGCAGTTAAGGACCTGGTTTGTGTATTTCTTTCCAGTTCTGCTGTTGATTTCTTTGCCAACCTAGGCAAATAGCCATACTGTTGTGTACCATTTTGTGATTTAAAGCTAATACAGAGTAGCAGTGTTTAGTTAACAATTAAGTAATAAACTGGAAAGTGCGTGGCAAAAACTGTAGTCTTCACCAGTCTCCACAGAAATGCTGCCAAATGAGTCACTGATTCCTTATTTGCCCTTCACCAATAAAGTCTGAGCCACCCAGGTACAAACAACATACAAGGAAATCAGTGCAACAGATCCTAGACTTCTTGCTTTGGAAATTGGGATTTTCCCACATTAGGACCCACACAGTCTACTAATGAATTAGTGAATGCTTTTTTTCACAGTAGCACAGCTATGCAATGCTGGGCACAATTTTATCTCCCCAGTTACATCAGGGTTGCCTCCACCCCAGAGTGTGTTGTTTGGATTTTACTGTTCATAGAACTGGGAAGGAGGTCTTTTTCTGCCAAGACAGAACCTTGCCACTTTTGGGTCTCAGCACATTTTAAAAAAAAATTTTATTCTAGTCCATGATTCTTGCATACCAAGCTTATATTATTTATGCGGTCTGTTCAAGAAAATTGTGTTTCAAATGTTGAATCTCTACCTGGTTGTTGCGTTTCTTTGTACTTTCAACTTTGATCCTGAAGGTCAAAGGGAAGTAGGACTTTGGTGTGCTCCATGTTCTGGGATATGTCCAGGTCACTGTTCTATTTGTGGCCACATACTGACATTGGGGTGGGTCGGGTCTTACTGCAAGACAAAATATAGAAGGAATTAATACACATTAGCAGCATAATATCAGATGTCAGGGTACTACTGTTGATAGTTTTAGAGGAATCAGCTTTGGGAGCCTCCATGAGATTGAGAGAGGAGCAAGCACAATGTGTAAGAACTGCCTTGTATGCCTCTTATGGAAAATTAAGCACAATCCCAGAGTCTCTCTGGGTAAGTGTTCCTGTTTTAGCACAGTCTGGCCAAGCCTGTTCTTATTTCAACCCATGAGTCTCTTTTCCCTTTGCCCCTTTAATTCTCTCCCCATCCCCAGAAGGGGGGAGGGTGAGCAAGTGGTGGTTGTGGCATTTGCTGCTAGCCAGGGGTTCAAAACCACGACAGTAAGATCCTTGTTTTTTTTTTTTTGCCTGAAGGGTTGCAGAGGGCTCTGTTGGACACAGAGGAGTATCTTCAACCCCTGCTGACCATTAGGGCATTTAACAAAACATGTTTCTTTAGGATGCTGCTTTGCTTTCCTGTACCCTGTGGCACCATGGTCACAACCGGTCCTCTTATTTCCTGTCAGTTTCTGTTAACCTGTCCTGGATGCCCATATGTAAGAATGGATCAGGAGTGAAGCATACATAGTGTTAACTGTTATCTGAGTAAATCTGGAGTTCTCAGAGAAGATTCTGCTGGGTTATTGGTTATTCTCTGACTTCTCCCTCATACTCCTTCCAAAACATGTCCATCTAGTAGATAGGGCTACAGAAACTTCTGGAACATGTGGGGGTGAGAGGGTTGGAGGTCACAAGCTAGAGAAATGTTGCTTCTTCACTTCCTCATCTTCTTCTGGACTGCTGCTAAGATTTGTTTCCCCTGTTCCTGTAACTGGGAGCTTGATGCTGATTTACAGTAGAATAGGGCAGGGATTCCCAAGCTTGGTTTGATCAGCTACTGTTGTTAGTTCCTCTATCAGCAACAAGAATAAAGGTATGAACTAATCATGATTCCTGGTCTACTCACTGATATCTCTGATGAAGAAGCTGCTAGTGTAGTTCTCATATTCCACCTCATCAATGACCTCCAGGAACATCTCAATTGGCTGGTGCTCTTCAGCAAATGGACAGTAGTTTTCTTTCTGGCACTGGGCTGTATATTCAGTCACTGACTCATCAGTGTGAGCTACAGGGTTGCTGCAGGTTACGTCTCCTTCAGAGCTGGATACAGAATGGAGAAAAGCACTGGAAATGGCTGGTTTGTTCTGAGAATTTGTTGCCACAATGATAACATGTATTTAGTAAGGTAATGTTTTGCTGTTGCCTGTATCATTTTACAGCTGTGCTTCAGCAGCTGCAGAAACAGTTCAGTGGGAGTTCTTACATTTTCAGTGCTCTATTACATAGTAATGTAAAATCACAGAAGCCCTCCTGCCTTAGCAGAAGGAATTAGTGTCTAAACCTAAACCAAGATATCTCATTTCTTGTTACCACTCTTATGACAAGCTCTAGTACCTTACTTTGTTCCTTAGCTCTTTCCAAATCCTTGCTGGAAGAAATAAGGGAAGATTAAAATGTATCTATTGGAAAATAAATAACAAAAGCCATCTATAAAGTACTATGTGAATCTGGTTCTATTTTTGCACTCAGCAAAATAAAACACTTTGCAGTTGTTTCTTCTTTAACAAACTGAAGTGACCTTTGCTGAAGCACACCATGTTTTGAAGAAAGCCCCAAGAGTAGTGGGAGGTAGGAAATCCCCACAAGGTTCCCCTCACGTATTTCCCTCGCAGGTTTCTGCAGCGTTCCTCCACAATGTCTTGTCAGTGGACATGTGGCTTTTGCAGTGGGTGCAGCCTCCCACTGCCCACACTGGATCTGCTGTGAAGGGACTCAGTGCTGTGATTGTTTCTGCTTTTGGCTCAACTTCCTTTCTCTCCCCTGCATTAAGTGTTTTTGCTATTGCTTAAGCTATTTTGTGGCTGTACTGTAGCAGCTGTAACAGTCCAGTGGGGGTTGTTCCCTTTTCAAGTCTTTGTTAATTTCTGAGCAACTTCCGTGCCCTTATTAGGCAAGTTAGTCCCAGTGAAAGCTCAAAACATTTTGCAGATGTTCAGACCCTGGAAGTGGGATTCCTTGCCTTCTACAATGGGATCTCCTACACAGAGTAACACAAAGGGCTGTTCCGGCCTTACTACGAGGAAAGTACGAGCTTTTACCCTTTTAGACCTCTGATTGTGAACTTCACATTTGGACTCTCATTTTCTGTCATCCATGAACACTTGAAAATTCCAGAGTAGTTCTTTGCCTCACATTTTAAAAATGTCTTGTTTGGCTCTAGATGGAAAAAGAAAGAAAACATTATTTATTTACTCTTTTTGACAAAATGGTGAAAGCAGAGATAAAACAGTAATTCAACAGACTCCCCTCTGCTTGGCAGGTGGTGGGTGCATAGGCAGACACAGTCTCACACTGCCCATGGGGCAGCCGCCTACAGTTAAAAAGCCGTGTAACCACAGTTAGTGGCTAAAGGCTGGTTTACACGGCACCACATTAACCACTTCTAGATGGCTATTGACAGGAGCTGGAGCACACCCAAGCTGTTGCGGATAGCTGTCAGCAAGAGACTTGTATAGACAAATCCATTGTTCCTTTCAGAAAGAAGCACTGCAGCTATTGAGTTGGCAAACCTCTGTATTTGTTACCCCGCACGTGAGAGTGCACACAGTGGTAATCTCACGTCTTCACACACTGGGGCACTTGATGGGGAATGTTTCCAGTGTGAGAAGTGAGTGAGGCCTCAGTTTTCCTGCTGCCCAGCACTGCAGATTCTCAACAACTCTGTCTTTTACCCTGGGTGTAGCTGACTGGCAGACCTGCCTACTGCATCTGATATGTGGGTCCAGGAACCCTGGAAATTGATAAGGTCCTGGCATTACAGTGAGGGACTGCAATACGAGACATAGATGAGTGAGGTTCATGGAAAAATGGAAAACATCACAGCTTGTCCCAGTGGGTTAATCATGAATGGTAGCCCAAATGACAGCACTTAAAATCTAGGTCAGTCCCTGTTTCTGTCAAATCACATAGCCCTGGTTTTGCAAACCCTCTCCTGAGTGCTGGGTCTGTGAGATGCAGGCAAAGCAAGTCAATTGCTCCCCCAGCAGAAAAGCAGTGGTGTAGTATTGCTGTTATCCTGTATCTAGTCATTCCTACCATCATTCCATCCTACAGGTCTAGAGAGTCCTAAATTAATCCCATGGCAACCAATTCCTGTGCTGCTCATCAGCTGCACCATGTACAGACCCACCACAGTAATCCTTTGCCTTTCACTGTCAGCAAAGCATTTGAAGAGGACTCATTTTAAAGTGGATATTTCTCATGCATTTCTCCAGAGAGCTCCCTCTGGTCCTCCCAAAGCTCCAGTGCAGAAAGCTGAGCAAGACACATCACGTCATCTTATGACCATACCTTTAAAGCTTTTCAGAATTGACCTGATCATTTGCCCATTGGAGTCTATTTTAGTTATGAGGAAGAAATCATAGCTGACAATTTCATGGGTATTGGCTGTCAGACAGGTGTAGTTGCCAGCATCTGGGAACTCTTTCACTTCGGCAACCAGAGTCTTTCCAGTTCCTTTCAGTTCGGTGCCCTTTTTCCAGTAAACTGACAGTGCTTCATCAGTTGTGTTACAGGTGAGCTCCACTCTTTTAGCTGGTGTCTCATCATTCCACTCTGATTCTATGACGTACACTGGACATTGCAGAGAAAGACATGTTAGCAGCTATTCATACTTAATAATGTAAAGATTGACCTGATCCCTTTTTTCAGCTCTACTCTCCAGGAAAACTGCCTACAAATCTTTCTTGCCCAAGGTCTCACCATCACCTGGAAATCTTTACTACAAGAAGAGGTTCGACTTAGAAATGTACAGTATATCTAGAACCTGCTCATCAATAGGGATGATACTTTAATGGAAGTAGTGATTTTTTTTCTGTATTCCCAGAGAATCTTACAGTGGTTCATAACCATGGGAAATAGGCAGGTACCTTTGTTTAAAGGTGAGGATGCCAGGACACAGTGAGCCCTCCTGCACTACCTCCTGCCCGTGTCCTGTGGCCTTTGCTCACAGAATGGCATGTAAACCCCTCTGTCCTGCAGTGCCTTGCCATGGTGCAAAGCTACGACACTTTGCCCTCTTCAGCGTCAAGTGTGAGCGTGCAATGGGAAGAAGGGGAGCTCTGGGTAAGTGGTTTGTATTTGCCTGTAGCTGATGCTGTTTTTTATTTTCTAGTGGGAACAATGTACTCCTATCACCCTAGTTCCAGTGGAGCAATTACTAACAGGCAGGGGATCGTTGAGCTACGGCAGAGCTAAGGGGACTCCAACAGGGAGATGTGGTATGCTAAATGCCAGCTGGTAACTCGGATGTGCCCTGCTGATCTTTCCCAATTAGAAGACATACCATACAACAAAATAACTTGGAACAATTCCATTAAAGAAACATCATCTTCTCTTGTCTCTTTGCTGTGGTTGGCTGAAGAACTTCACCTACGCTTTTGTGTGCCAAGAGTTCTCAAATTTAATTGTCATTGCTTAGATACACTACTGCTGTCACAGGCTCCCCAGCCATGTTCAGTGTCCTCAGAGACACTACATGCAAGAAGTGGCAAAAAATTGTTCCTTATGTGTCAACACCACAGCAAGCACTCAGATCACGAAATCAGAGCTCCAGTGAGCTCTAAGACCTTTTCATCAGAGCATTTCACTACCAAAATGAGACCTTTATGAGAAGAAACACTAAGACATGCTGAATTTAAAATGGAAGAAAACACGCAACTCTAGGAAGGTTAGAAGCTTACCAAACTGCTTATGGAAATTTGAAGCTCAGGCAAGGTAAACCTTACAGACTTCAAACACAAAGATTATTCTCAATAGTGACAAATATATTTGTAGTTTTCAGCACCATGGTATTGCCCAGGGAATGCACAGGATAAATCATTTTTTTATTGTAAAGATACAGGGAAAATTAACTGAATTACTTTTTACAAATAAAACACAAGCAGATTGAGAATGCTTTTTAAATGTTGATTAAGATCCTTCTTTTTGGATAATCACACTGAAGACAGCATGGATTATGGAGCTACACTGCATGAATAAGAACAGCAAATTTGATTATCCGAATTTAGCCCAATTTTCTGGTAAGTGATTAAAAAGATTTGTTTGTTTTTTACTAACCCTGTGTTTTTACAAATGTATTTATGTTTAAGTTATTTACTAGAAAAGCTGGATAAACTATTTCTGGGTTTTAGAAGTATTCTTTTTGTCAATTAATGCTTCCACTTGTTTGTTTATGGGCTGTTACCTAAGTCATAAGATACTGTTTCTGCTTCCAGACTGCATGACTGAAACTTTTGAAACAAGTAAACAGAGAATAGGAAATAGGACAGTGTCTAATGAAAATGTTCGGAATGGCCGTTGTACGACATTTTAGGACTTCTAAGTATTTCTTCCATTAATACCAATTAGTTGGTTAGTTATTCGCAGACAGGAAGAACCTTGGCTTAAGATCCTATAGTTAACAAATTCTGTGCTTGTGGCCAGAAGTCAGTTGTGTCCTACAGTCAGCTGAAAGTCTCGGTGAGTGAAGCCTGCTTACCGTTTTCCCTCAGTTTCCACTGCGCTTCCAGAAGGGTGGCAAAGGAAAATAATGAAAGTAAGGCAAATAGTAGATGAGACATCTGTAGGGGAAAAAAAAAAAAAATTACTACACTTTATTAAGGTTTGTTGAGTGTGTACTGAAATCGAGCTCAAGGCTGGACAGGATACTAAGACAGTCGGTTGCAGTGAACTAAGAAACATTCTCCCATTCTAAGAACTCTCAAACTACATAAAAAATGAGTACCAGGTTTGTACTGGAGGTCAAGCCAAGATTTTGATCTGCTGGTTTTTCACACCACAAACCAGTTTAGGGAAGAAATCACGGAACTCAAAGGGAATTGTTGTGTGTATAGGTCTTATATGGTCAGGAGCTCAGAAGCATTCCCAGGCACCTCAGTTAAATATTCCTCATGCAAGAAAAGTCAATGCCAGCCAGGGTAGTTGCATGAAGGTGGCATTGGATTAAAGGATTGGTGGACATTAAATTCCATGTAAGTATAAGTAAGTATATTCCTTGGTTTAAGCATGTCAGTAGTCCTATTAAAACAAAGGACTGTGAAGAAAATGAAGGACCTGCTGAAGTGTTTTTCTGGACTGTAGTCTTCACCATCTCTGTGAGAACAAGAGACAGCACTGTCAAAAATGCAGTGTAGAGCTGACATCAATACTGACCCTTGCCTAACTGGTACTAGTTCTAGCATCCACCTGAGGCTGCAGAGTCTTATTAATTTTGCAAGCAATTTCAGGCAAAATTCCTACTGGGTTGAGTGCCACAGCTATATTTGCAGAAATGGATGGATATGTATATCATTGTTGCTGTGTTCACTTGAGACATATATCTCACTTGAGAAAATATAAGTGTCTAGCTGTATATACAATATATAAATGTATATTTGTCCAGAATTCAAAATACAGCTAGAGCGCTTAATGAAACACAAAACATATTTGCCAAATATTGTAGTAACCACCGGGTGCGTAAAAAACTTTAAGGACAGTTATTTAGATACACTTTCAGACCTTTTTCAGCTGGAGATTAAGCCAAATGAATAGGAGTACGATTTAGAAAAAGAGATTGCTGAATATACCTTTCAAACTCTATTCTGACTACAGTGGGAGTCTGAATGCACATGAAAAACACAAAATTAAGTGGTTTGGGTTTTTTTCCCTCCCAAACCAGTCTTTGTCAGTGAAAGGGGAGTAGTCCTCTTGATTTCTTCTCATGTGCCATGAAACATTTTCATTGGAGTTTATGGAGGAAGAGTATGTGTGTATTTCGGGGTGCACCAGATCTGCTCCTCAGTGGCAGCTCATGCTATTTTTAGCAGTCCTGCACCCTGACCAGCAGTCAGCTGTCTCTGGACCAGTGCCAAGAAGGCGTGCCATCTGATTTTGTACACTACCCAGCACAGCTATTAATGGGATCAGAAACTACAAGTTTAGTATCTGGAGAGAGTATCTAGGAAAGGAAGCAGCTCACATTGCATCTGTACTTGGAGAGAGGCAGGAGCCTCAGTGAAAAGCCAGATACTATCAGCAGCCTATCAGCAGTATATTGCTTCGTTAAAAGGCAAACATTCTTAGATCCTCAGGATTTTCTACTGCAGGCAAGATTATCTGCCATTTGTGAAAGAAAAAAAAACATTTTGCAACTTCCTGAAAGATGTTAATTTCTTTAATTGTAACATGGCATTCATCACTATGCTTCATAAACCAACATCTGAAATACCAACTAAAACTTGAAGGAGGAGAAGGGCGTAAACATGCCTTCAAAAGAAGGTATCAACCTTTCAACAAAATTGAAACCTGGAAAATGCCTGGTTTCAGAGAGAAGCTTCATGCTTCAGGTTTTTGATTTAAAAAGTTAACAATTTCCATGGGAAATTATTAAATTTTTGAGATGGGGGGAGGACACCACCACCCCCATCTAAAAGTTCATTGAAAAAATAATCAGAAATAAACTCAGTTTCTGAATATCGCTGATCAGTGCAGTTGCCCGAGCACTTCATAGATGAGCACAGTGTACCAACATCATCTGTTCCCTGTGATCTGGAGAATGAGCTGCTGTAAATCAATAGGTTCCTTCACTGAGAATAACAGAATAGTTTATTTCAGAAAGAACCCCTGGATGTCATCTGGACCAGCCCCACCTCAAGGCAGGGCCAAGTCAATGGTGTTGCATTTTTTTAAAAACAGAGAATGGTCTGACCATAAGTACATATTTGTCAATGCACACACCCCAGCAATATGAACATTGGTGAGATACAAAAGATTAGTAGCTTATAACATTAGCGATTCTGTTAGTTAGATAACAATTCTATAAGCTGTATACATATATACACTATGTGCTTAACTTCAGGCACATAAGCATATAAATACTGTCCTGGGAAAAATGTCACAACAACTATTTAATTACACTTCTAAATAAGTAATTTGAAGTTTTCATTAGTTTAATCTGAAGCAGTTTGTACCAGGTACCAGAATTGTGTTGCCTTAGTATTGGAGAACAAAGGAATTCTCACCTTTTCTTGGGATGCCTCTTAGCTGAAGTTGCCAGGCAGGTTGGTTTTGTGATCTGAAGGAAGCAAAGTGCTGGCTCCCTTATAAATACTTCTAAACTCTGAAAGGAAAGGGATGCTCCGTTTCACCGCAATACCACAGAATTGCAACACGTGGCTTGAGTTCCTTTTTTACATAGTGGCAGAGCTAAAGCAAAAAAAAAAAAAGTTTGGGACTCCCAGGTAAACTTTAAAGAGGAAATGAGATTATGAGATTGTTACAATGACCTTTATAGTATAACAGAGGCATTTCCTTTCCTGACTGATTTTCTGTCACTATCATACTGCCTTCATCATCTGAGGAAGAGTAAATACAGACTAAATAAACTTCCAAAACTATCTGATGGGAAATATATTATGAAGACAGAAAGAGAAAGTTAAATAAACTAAATCTTTATCTACCTGGTAAGCACAAAAGAGATAATTACATGAAATAAAATCCCAGCTACCACATCAATCAGAAGTAGAGCTAAGCGAAAATTAATTTTTAATTGTTCTTTCAGAGTTGTATTTATTCTAAAAATTGAGACTTAGGTCAACCAAAAAATAAACAATTTGTTCTGGCTCAGAGATAAAGCCCTGAGATTGTCACAGTATTTTATGTTGCAGTTTTAAAATAAAACCTGTTGTTTTTTCTTTATAAACTGATGTTCCTTTTAGACTCGAGCATAAGAAACGCCCCACACATAACATATACTTTGAAAATGAGGAAAAATTTCTACCAATTTTTTTAATTATTTGTGAAATAGAAAACAATTCACTTTATTTGTCAGGGAAACCAAAACTGAGCTGTTCTTCTAGCCCTGTTACAAACCTGAATAAGATAACTGAAAAGCTATAAGCAAGAAGACATTGTTTATAAAAGAAAAAAAAAAAGGTTTGAAATTCAACCTGACATGCTTTAGGTGTTCATAAAGAGACACAACTCTATCCTGTGCACTTTCTAGTGACAGGAGTGTTCCCACAGCCCGGAGAACAGAGCTATAATGTAGTAATCCCGCAAGGAGAAGGTGGTGCCTGTCCCTTCTGCTACAGTCAATGGTCTTTCAGAAGACCTTTGCACAGATCAAACAACACAAGCATCTGCAATGTGTTGCATATTTGGTGCCCCCAAATATAGCAAGAACATAAAACAAAAGGAGGAACAACCCAAATTAGCAGTGAGACAAACTTACTCTGAACGCCAGCCGTTCCCAGTGCATGGGGTTCTGCTGGCTGTCACACATCTGGGAGGCACACAGCAGAGGGTAGCATGCTCTCATTTGAAGGAGGGTGGTTTCAGGGCTCTGGATTAACCATGCTGAAAACTTTACACAAATATACAGTATTACCAGTGGAATCTTTTTTTCTCCTAGCCATCCTCTTCAAAGAAACACTGCTTGAGTAGGATCAGATACACCTTTGGCAGCTGAGCTTTAACTCACACACAAACTAGAGCACTGCCATCCCAGGTGGGCCTAACAACCTCCCTGCTTGGTCCAGCGTACCCAGCCTCTTACCCAGACATCAGGCCCAGACTTCCATTTGCTAGAGCTCCCAGACAGAGCTGGGCAAGAGCAGAGTGAGAGGGCTGCAGCTCCGTCACAGAGAAAAACTGTTCCCTTCACATACCATATACTGAATCTGGGTCAAAGTGGTTTATTGATTTATTCATGGCATGGAATTGATCAGCAAGCACTGAACTCATTATTTGAGATCCATATCAATAATATAAGAGAGGCCAGAGTACTAGACACTTCCAAAACATCAATTAATGCCTATACATCCCCACCCTTCACTTACCCCAAAAGGCTCTAATCTCCCCCTCCCACACATACACATGGCTTTACGCACACATGGGAAGGACGTCTGGATTACAGGCACAGGAACCGTCTTTGCATCTGGCTGATGCTTGTCTTCCTCTCTTACATGATCATCTGGGACAAATGTCTTCTCAGGCGGTTGTGGGTCCTCCATTCAAACACTGTTTATGTTCCCACTCCTATCTTAACAGCTGTTGTTATCCAGGCTGTTTTGCCACAAGTGGACCATGGAGACACTGACACTTCTGCTGCTGCTGTTGTTTCACTGTTCAGAAAGAGAAAATGGCAGGCTGAGAAAGCACGTTGGGAAAGATGTGGCAGAAGCAGCTGGGGCACAGGGAAGTGAAAGGTATTCAAACCGTTCCAGGTGGCAAAATAATCTCCTTCTGATCCTGGTCCTTGACTACCTTTGAAATGCATGTCAGAAGGAGGCTGGGCTGTGCACCGTATTCCCATTCATCTGCTTCTCCTCCCAGGAGAACCTTTGTAATGAGAGCAGGAAGGAAGCCTCAGTGAACAGTGACACACCTTTCCCCTTGTAGTCTCAGCCCGTTCTAATTGCAGCCTGTGGGAAGCACCTGGGGCAGGTCTCCTTTCACAAGGAGAGCCCAGGCTGAATCAAGGTTGGCAACACTTGGATTCCATTTAAGACCATTTCCAAGACTCTCTTCTGTGATAATACACAAGCTTAACAGCAAGGCAGCAAGGACCAGGAAAACTTGA